CATTAAAAAGAGACAAATATGAATAATTCCGTAGCATGATAATATCGCGTCAATAAATTCATAGCGAACAGTTACCAAACTTTATTAATTAATTACGTGGCTACGGCGCAAGACCCCTGAATCACCCGACAAACTCCGGCGACCGAATCGACCACCCCGCCGCCGCCGTTCGCCACCCATTTTCTCACATCATCAACAAACCTTTCAATGTTACGGTCTGATGATCCACCGGAGGTGACGGCGGCCCGAGCTATCTCTTTCCACTCTTTAGCGCGCAACAGCATCGCCTCGGCGTCTGGTCCGTCGGTGGCGGCGGTGAGGCATCGCACGATCTCGGCACGTGCTGCCGGAGTAGGAATGCGGACGCCGATTCCGTGGACATCGCAGAGGAACTTGGCGTCGGGGACTTGGTCTCCCCACTGGGGGAAGGCGATGGCAGGGACGCCGGCGGCGATGAGTTCTAGGGTAGAGTTCCAGCCGCAGTGGGTGACGAAGCAAGCTAGGGATTTGTGGGCCAAGACTTTCTCTTGTGGGCTCCACTCCACGAGAATGCTTTTGCCTTCTGCTTCTATCTCTTCCTTGAAACCCTTTGGAAGCAGTTCTCGGAGGTTCTCCCTAACCTGAAGTGAGAGAAAAACTCAATTGCAAAATTTTTATTACAATTTTTTTACGTACTTACATATATGAAAAAAAAATATATTTATTTTAAATACATTAAAAATTAAATAAAATCTTAATTATAAAACTATAGTAAAACTTTTACAACAAGTAATTTAAATCAAAAGGAAGCCTACATCTACATAATATATAGTTATGTTAGCATTATACAAATTTCATGCAATATTTTTCAAGTTTTTATCACAGCCAAAATTTTTAAAATTTAACAAAATTATCAAAATCGGAGAAATAAAAAATATTAATAGGCCTAAAATAAAAATAAATAAAAAACATCAAAATTTAAAATCAGGATTAAAACAAAATACTTAACAGAAATACTATAATTTTCAAAAATAAAAAAATAATTATATAGATTTATGATAAAATTTTTCAAAAAATCTATCTATAAATAAGAAAGATTTAATTATGGGTGTCAAAATGATTATTTAGGTCGGGTTCGGGTCTAGTCTGGAATTGACTTGGATCTAATTCTGTTGACCCGAACCGATCCGATTTACTAAATATGTTAGAAATTCAGATGCAGATCAAACTTGTAGGGTTACTAGGTTGACCATACTCGACCTACTCACTCGGAATACATCTAGATGCAAGTGAATTTGAGCGCAACTATGAGTGGGCAAAGGGGGTGCAAGAGGGCAAGTGCATGGGACCCAGGATGCAGGCGCATGAGCGGGTCCATGTGTCGATGCGAGCTTGGGAGGGCTCTCTATGGAGTCCGGGCGGGAGGGGGATGGCGGGAGATCTATGGGCGGGACAAAATGCGGACGCATGATCATTGCAAGCCCAGGGGCAACTCCTACCATTTTCGGGTTTGATTTCATATTTTTGGGCTAACCCCAACCCAATCCTATTTTAAAAACGTGTTAGAAAATGAAATTCGAATAAGTACTCCAGGCTGGGTCTAGATCAAATTTCGAGTTCAGTAAAATATGAAAACCCCCAGATTTAATTTATTTACATATATATTTTACTTACTGCACTGTCTCGGAAAACACATTATATATAACTGATGAAAAGTCGTGCTATTTGACAGCAAGGCCCTTTTTGAAAAATGGTGATGCTTTCCTAATAATTTAATACAAGCATCGACTGGCCTACCGTTTATTCAAGTATGAATACACTTCATACCAAATCTAGTTACTTTGTCTCTGGTCTAAACGAAAATAATAAATAATAAACACTACATTTATATTATGACTAGTCATAAGCACATATTTAAAATAATAATATTTATTAGATTAATCATCCATCGTTTTAGTAGTGGTATTATAAAATTCATATGATTTTTAGGCCCTTATAAATGAAAATTTTGTTAGGATATATATATATTAAATATGATTGAGATATTAAAATAAACATTAAAATAATATAGTAGGTATATAAATTTCTTTTTATCACGCGCATGCACGTGAAGCGGGAAAGAGTAAATTTTAGATTCACAAAAGATAAATTATAAAACCAAAAAGAATTGCCGTCAGTCGTCACGTGCTTACTAAATTTCACTTTAGAAAAGGCCGGCCGGAGTTCCGAAGTCCAAAAGCAAGCTCTTGCATCTCGGAGGAATTTAACATTACTATACTCCCCGCCGAGACGTAGACAACAGATCTCTTCTCCTGTTTATCAAGCCATTCAATACAGCGATCCTCCGGCTTCCACATATCGGCCTTAATCTTCTCCTGCGGCTCACCGGCTTCGACAAGTGGGCCCACTGGTATGACGGGTATTTGCAATCTGCCTGCAATAGCATCAAAAGCATCTCTCTCCAGTTCCTCGAATGAATTAGCAAAAACCCATCGGGCCTTTAAAATGTTCTTGAACTGGGCGAGGATCACGTTTGTGAGAGGTTTGTAAGGATTGGAAGGGAGAAGGAATGTGGGCAGGTCTTCGGGCCGCATGGGTGGGAGGCCCGGGAGATTCACCGTCCGGTCCGGGTTTTCTTCGGTTGGGAAATCGGCGAGCTTGTGGTGAAAATGGTAGTAAGTAGAGAATACTGCGCAGGACTGAACCCATAAAACGGCGCTGGGAATTCCGAGATCTTCGGCGACGTTGAGAGCCCATGGAAGAAACGGGTTGTTGATGAGGCAGGAGACTGGTCGACCCGCGTCGGTTTGGCGGTTGATGAGATTAGTTAGTGCGGGTGGGCCGTTGGATTCCAGTCGGGCCATGAGGTTGTCGAGGTCGTCGCGATGCGGGTCAGTCGGGTCGGTCCCGTCGTCAAAAAACTCAAACCGGAGAAGGCCGCGGCCGACTGGGATCAAGTCCGAATCGCTTTCGGCGTCCGCAGAGGCGGCGGAGATGCGGTTGCCTAGATCGAGGGTGGTGGAGAAGGTGACGAGGGGGCCCTTGGAAGCGACGCGTTTGGCTAAGCGGAGGAGAGGGTTGAGGTGGCCTTGGCCGGGGAAGGAGACAAAGAGAAAGTGGAGGAGAGGGGAAGCTTCTCCCATGGCTGACTGTGGTAGGTTTGGTTTGGTTTGCTTTGCTTCGGTTGCAGCTTAATCTGGCTTTGGTTGTTAATATAGCCCATAAAGTCCAAGAGAGGAAGTTGGTAAGAGTTTTAATTGATTCTTTTGAAGTGATTGTGACCGTTGGATTACATCGACGAGGTGATGTGCAGAGTTATTTTCCTAACAAGAAATATCAAAGAATTCGTTAAATTAGATTAAAGAACCCGACCCGTGACCCGAAATTGACACCCCTACCTTATATGCATGTCAGTAATGTATGTTGATAGCTGATATTCAAGTGTCATAAATTCAATTAGAGAAAAATCAATTGAATATAACTTTGCAAGGCTAATTAGTTTTCTCAGATCATAAGCAAGGAATGAATCACTTAGTTTTTTAGACACCACATAAAGAAACAACTCAATAATGACTTATGAGATTTGATTATTTTATTCTTAAAGTTGAATATTAACAACAACATAAAACAAACCAACACGATAATGATGTAAGTTTATAATTTCTTTACTTCTCCATTTTGATGGTCAATCAGCATTAAATATAGAGTTCATATTAAGGATGTCAATTTAAAAAAATATTGCAAAAATGTAATACTTTTTCTGGCAAAAAATCTTACATATTATCTCTAATCATCTACAATTATTATTTTTGGCCAAGAGAGAAGCTAGAGAGAGAAGCTCTTAGAAAGGAAGGAAGGAAAATCATTTTTTAAAAAAAAATTCCAAAAGCCGTCTTTTTGGCGGTCTTTCTATTAAAGTCGGAGGCGGCGATGGCGGTCACTGATGATCGCCGGAAACCTCCTGGAAGTTCGTCTCCCCATCCCTATCAATCCAATGTTCAATTCAGGCCTTTCAAAGGTGGAATTCATATCAAGGAACCTTCAATGGTAATCCAGTAGAAATCTCCCCAGTTATCGGGAAAGGAAAGGATGTGGCGATTTTTGATTCTGTTAAATTTCCGAAATTGATTGGAGTTAAATCTCCTTTGAGAAAATCCAATGACAATGAAGCATCTTCATCTTCAGAGATGAAAATTTTTGTAAACAGATTTAGCAACGTCAATGCCAATCTACTGGTTCAGGAGAAAGTCGTCTCCTTTTCTGAGAAATTTAAGGAAAATATCCCAGATGTTTGCAATATTGTCGTAGAAGGAAATGAGAAGGTGGAATCAGTTAAAGATCAAACTCCGAATCATTGGGTCAGAAAACCCAACATCAAGGTGAATTTCACTAAAAAATGATTACCATATTTCTGAAGATGGGAAGGCTATTTTGCTCAATGAATCAAATATTAAAATGAATTTTGAAAAACTCCAAAAATCTGTGGTAGTGAAGGTTTTCGGAAGGACTCTTCCTTTCAATTTGATTGCCAGTGAACTCAGGAGGCAATGGAATTCTATTGGAAGTTACATATAACTTCAATTGGGCTCGGATGGATTTTATGTTCATTTTCTAAAATGGAAGGAGTGGAAAAAATCTTAGAAGGAGGCCATTGGTATGTTAATGACCATATTGTGGGAATAGACAAATGGTCCCCGATGTTCTCCCCTTCATCCTTTAAAGGTTTGACTGCTCCAATTTGGGTAAGGTTTCCTCACCTCCCTTTAATGGGTAGGGATGAAGAGAATGTAGCGAGAATAGCTTCTATGGTTGGCCATCCTTTATGGATTGACGGCAATATGTTTCAATGGAGAAAAAGAGAGTATGCCAGGGTATGCGTTCGCATGGCTCTAGACCAACAATTCCCTTCAGGAGTTTGGGTGGAAGGATCTTGTGGTCGGTTTTTTTCAGAAAGTGGAATATGAGAAGGTATCCACATTTTTCTTTAAATGTTGTCAGGTGGGACATCTGTTGGGAGATTGTATGGAAGTGAATTCCTCCAGCTTAATGAAAGATTTAGTTAAAGAAAGTGTTGATGTTGAAGCAAATTCTTTTCCTCCAGTAGACAGCAATGAGGATGCTTATAGTCCTTAGACTATGGTCATGAACAATAGAAGGAGGAGATTCTTGACTAAAACGAGAAGGGTCAATCATTATGCTTTCAAGCCCAAAAAAACAAAAGCTGTTTTTGTCAGGAAAATAGAATTTAATAAAGAACTAGCAGTGGATCATTCAGTTATTGTAAATCCTGTCCCTAATTTAGAACCAATTGTTGAAGCTGTGCATGAAGAAGTAGTAGAAACAAACAACTCCACTGAAATTATCACTGAGAAGTCAAAATTAATAAAGGAGAATATTGTGTTGGATGCCATTATTCCTATAATTCCTGATTTTGAGAAGGTAGGTTTTTCAGCAAAACCTACAGAAGTTACTAACAAATTTAGCATACTCAATTCTTATAGTGAAGGAGAAGAAGTTTATTCTGGAAATGTATCTAATGAAGTTGAAGAAGGAGAATTACTACCTGAAGACAAGCCATTTGAGAATTCCGCTCTAATAAAAGAAGATACAGAATCTGTCAAAGCAAAGGTGAAGCTTCACAAAGAACTCAAATCATTGGGCAAGGATAACATATTATCTCAAAGAAGGAAAGGAGAATTGAACAAGATGAATAAGAATGGGAGCAATCCCATTTTTAATCATAAATGACTTTCATTGCATTTTGGAACTGTAGAGGGGCTAGAAAAAAAGAAGCCTCTCGTTATTTGAGGGAATTCGTTAAAGAATTTGATATTTTTCTTTTTCGATTGGTAGAAACCAAGATTTCTTCAATTGACAGAAATGAAATTAACTCCCTGATAGGAGTTAACTGGGATTATTTCAGTTTTCCAGTTGAAGGAATGTCAGACGGCATTTTGATTTGTTGGGAAAGATCTTTTGGTTCTTTTTCTGTAATTCAAGCTTCTTCACAAGTGGTAGTGGGTATTTTTAAAATTCCAAGTTAAGGTGAATGGCTAGTGGCAACAGTTTATGGAAGCAAAGAAGTGTACAAGAGAAGGAATTTATGGGAAATTTTGGAATCTTTCTCGGACACACATCTCCCTTTTATCATGGGAGGTGATTTTAATTGTGTGTTATCTCAAGAGGAAAAAAGAGACGGGAAGAGGTTTGTGTTCTCTCAAGGACCTCAAGATCTGAATTTATTAATGAGCAAGTGTGATTTCCATGATACTAGAATTATTGGACCGAAATTCTCTTGGTGTAATAACAAGAAAGGAGGAGCAAGGATCTTAGAAAGATTAGACCGGTGTCTTTAAATCCTATTGCTTTGTCAATGATTCAACCTGTAGTGGTTCGTCACTTGGGGAGAATAGCATCTGATCACTGTCCAATTTTAATTAAAATCTTTAATAAAGGTTTTATTAAGAAGAAACAAATTCAATTTGAAGAAATTTGGGCCTCTTTTCCAGCATCTTACTCTATACTGGCAAGCTCCTGGAAAAAATCTGAAGGAGGTGATGATGTACAAGTGCTGAATCTGAAGTCAAAAAGAGCTCTGAAGGCTCTTTTCTACTGGAGTAAAGAAAAACATTCTAATTTGAAAAAACACAAGGATGAACTCAAGGAAGTGATCTTGAAGATACAAGAAGAAGAGGCTTATTTAGGTAGCCTATCAGATGAAAAAATCTGTCTACTTAAATCTAAAGTTTTAGATTTAAATTCTACCTTGGGACGGCTTAGCACTTGGTGGAGACAAAGAGCTAAAGTCAAATGGATGAAGGAGTGTGATTCTAATTCTAAATATATTCACGGGATTGCTACAGGGGATTGCTACAGCCAAGAGGAACAGCAACTTTATCAATCAAATTAAGGATAGCAGTGGTATTCTTGTGGAAGAGCAAAGCAGAATTGAAGAAGTTATGCTGGATCATTTTAAAGAGAAATGGAAATATAGAAGATGTAAGCTTTCTGGTTGGTCGAAGTTCATGGAAACTCTAGGAGATGAAGACAGGAGATATCTCTTGACTGATTTCACCAAAGAAGAGCTGGATTCTATTATTCGACATTAGAAAGGTAATATTGCTCCTGGACTTGATGGCCTTTCTTATTCATTTATTAAATGTTATTGGAACATCATTAAAGAGGAGGTGTGGAAAGCTATTTGTCAATTCTTTAATTCTGGTTTTATGAGCAAAGATTGGAAGGATAATGCTATTGTGCTAATTCCAAAATTGAAGAATCCCATAATTCCTTCCAATTATAGACCAATAAGTCTATGCAAATCTTTTTACAAAATTATTGCGAGGATGCTATTGAATAGAATGATGGTCTTTATTCCTAAACTGATTTCTGAAAATCAAGTAGCCTTTGTTAAAGGTAGATAAATATCTAATAATATTTTGCTTTCCCAAGAAATCTTTAATAAATTTAGATTCTCTAAAGCAAAAAAAGGATTGATGGCTATGAAAGTGGATATGGAGCAAGCCTATGATTGTATGGGATGGGAAACCTTGAAGCAAGTTTTAAATTTACTTGGGTTTCCTTGGAAATTCTCAAATTATTTGCTTCAATGTGTAATTGATACGAATACACTATTAATATCAATGGCAATAATACATAATGGATTGAAGAAAAATGTGGTTTCAGGCAAGGTTGCCCATTGTCTTTGATTTTGTTCATTATCTATTCCCAGATTTTAAGTGAAGCTTTCAATAAAAAAGGCAATAGTATTGGCATCAAAATTGCTCCAGTTGGGGAAAAAATTAATCATTTACAATATGCAGAAGATTCTATATTCTTTTCTGAAGCAATCCATAAATGTGCCAAGACTATTTTGAAGATCTTGAAGAACTAAAGCAGCTGGATGGGGCAGAAGGTAAATGCACATAAATCATCAATCCTATTTGGGAAATCAGTTGGAAGATGTAGATCCAAAGCTCTCACTAAAGTTTTGGGCTTTAAAGAAGTGAAGGAGATGAACTACCTGGGAGTAAAAATGGCATTGAGAAGACTATCTAATGCTGATTTTCAGTATTTGATTGAAAAAGCTTTAGATAAATTATGTAAATGGGGGAATTAGTCTCTATCTTTATATGGCAAGATA